AGCATATTATATATGTACATATTATTTATATATTTAATTTGTATTAATATACAGTTTAACATGTAATTTTTTATGTATTTTTTTTTACAAAATAAAACTAAAAATATTTTTAAATAAGATAGAAAAATTGAAATTTAAAATAAGATATGAATTTATTAAAATTTATAAGTATAAAATATATTTAACATGAATATTTTTTAATAAAAATAAATAAAAATCGAGTCATGCAGTTCAACTGGTGACCCACTGACCTAGTACCTTAACCGGTTCAATGACCGATCTGATTTTTAAAACTATACATGAGGTGATCTTAGGGTACCAAATGCATATATAATGTCACAAAGATAGAATATATGAAATTATTTTTTGTTAAAGACATAACCCATGTAAACTAATTTACACTCACACATGTGCTATGATAAAAGAGGTTAATCATATTAAAAAGAAACATTATAATTATTTCAATTATCTTATTTGACATACTTTTAATAACCAACTATTATTTTAAAAAGTTAAAATAGCTACGATAATACATATTCAGATTATTAGTTTAACAAAATTTAGCAATTTAAAAAGATGACACAATTATTTAATACAAATATTTTAATACTAATACAATTATTTATTTATTTATATTATTAATAATATATGTACATTAATTTTTTATTATATTATATACATAAATATGTTGATCTATCAAACTTAATAAAAAATTTTATAACTCTAAGTCTAGCCTTTTTAAATAAATAGACTTTTTTTAAAAGGCCAAATTTGATTTTTTTCATTAAAGATGTCAGACTAAATGAGATTTTAAAGAGATTAGGTCATAAGTCTCTGTTTAAGATTTGACTTAATCTCATCCCTAATAATGATTAAAATACTTCAATTCAGTGTTTTAAAAAATCAGATCGGACCAGTCGGTCAGACTGGGAACCGGTAGTTCAGCCGGTCCGAACCTTAAGTTGGATCGGTTATGCATTCGACCCGTTTCAAATCGGATTGAACCAATCAATTTTTCAGTTCGACTAGTGAACCGATGGGTCAAACCGGTTCAACCACAAAAAAAATTTTCAATTTTTTTGAAGGGATCATAAACCACAAAAATAACAATGAGAATTAAATCTTTTAATGGAAAAGCAAAAAGTCTTATTACATATATTATTTTGAAATATCAATTGCAAGCATATTATATATATGTACATATTATTTATATTTTTAATTTGTATTAATATACAGTTTAACATGTAATTTTTTTTATGTATTTCTTTATACAAAGTAAAAATAAAGAATTTTAAATAAGATGGAAATTAAAATTTAAAATAGGATATGAATTTATTAATTATAAGGATAAAATATATTTAACATGAATATTTTTTTTTTAAAATAATAAAAACTGGGTCATGCGATTCAATTAATAACCCACTAATTCAACATTTGACCCACTGACCTAGTACTCTAATCGATTTGATAATCGGTCTGATTTTTAAAACTATGATTAAACTAATCTTTATTATAAAACATTTTTAATAGAATTAGACAACATAATGTAAGTAGTTAATTTAATTAATTTTATTATTTTATAAAAAAAAATCGTAATATATTAATTTTATCATTCTTCTTTATTATTAAATTGTTATAAAAGATGAAGATATTACTTTATTTCAAATTTCATGCATCACTATCATTAACATTGATATATAACAACTAAAGATTTTAAAAAGTGAAAAAGAACATTTATTTATCAAATTTGTTTCTCATTATTCTATAAAACAAGAAAATACACACTCACAATCTTTTTCAGGAATAAAAAATGAAAAATAAAATTATTATTTTATTATAATTGTAAAATAACTTATAAAAATAATCATCAATTATTTTTAAATTACGCCTTATAATAATGATTGAAGGAAATAAAATGATTTTATCTATAATTTTTTTTTATAAATTTATAATGAGCAAGAAAATAATTAAATTATATATAAAAAAGTAAATAAATCTTTAATATTTAATTAATAAGTCAAACGTAACATAAACTTAATATTTGAAATATGTTATAAATACTTAATAAATAAAGTAGTTCCACCATAATTATATTAAATATATCATCTAAAACACGATTCTCTCGTTTTAAAGAAATCAAATCATAATTATGTAATCTCTATGTGTACACGTGGAGATTGTTTAGACTTTAGGGTGTGGATTTGGTCTGTCACTCCAATTTTTTTCTTCATACAATTTATGATCTAATTCAGATCCGTATCATAATTTGATATGTAAAAGTTGATTTAACACTTTATTTAATTTCTGCTTTTTAAAATTTTAATTTTAATTTTAAATTAATTTTATAATTCATCGTTCATCTTTTTATATTTTTATAATTTAGTTTTTCAGACAGGAAATCTACTTATTCTCTATTAAATTTAGCAAGATATTTGTTATATTCTAATACTTAACAATTACATTAAATTATTATTTAAAATTATCATCTATATATATATATATATTAAGTTTTAATTGTTATATCTATAAAAATTCTCACAATTTATCTAATCATATAATTATAAAATATATAGTAAAATATTTTAATGGATAAGAATTAAAATTTGATATACATAGATGATCACATGAAATGATAATCTAATATTATTGTTCAAATATATGGATATAAATAATGCTAGTATTTTAGTCTCTACAATGCACAAAAATGTTTATTATATATAATATAAATAAAATTTATAATAAATTATACATAAATAAATATACAAAATTTTATATTAATCCAAGATGATTTGATACTTCATTCTCATAAAATAAAATTGACGTAATATATTTATTTCAAAATATACTAAAATATGAATACTTTGATTACCCTCAAGTTGTTGTTCAATTTTAATAAAATTTGATATACGCATATAAATTGATATGAATTTTCAATCTAACGGTTATATTTACAAAATTCACATTTAATATAAAGTCATTTAGTGGTGTAACACTTGTTAAACGTTACACTGGTGTAATTATAACCCTCTCTCTCTATATATATATATTAAAAAATAGTATATAAAAATATTTTCAAACACAATTATATTTTAGATATGATAAATAATTTATATTATAATAAAAAAATATTTTTAATAATTGATAATTTATTTTAATATATTAATATTTAATTTATAAATAATTATGTAAATAAAAACTAAATTATATAAAAAATTTAAAAGTTCTTACAAATCTTTTTGATGAAAAGAAAATTCCTAAAAACACTTCTATACAAAATAGAAGTTCATATTTAATATATAGGAGTTAATTTTAAAAATTTTCATATATTATAAACAAAATTTTAAGTCTAGAAACTAAATTATAAAAATATAAAATAATAAATAATTTAATTATCATTTTTTTAAAATTTAGGAACCTACCTAAAAATTCCCAAATTTTCAATTCTTATATATATTTTTAAACTGTAAAAGTTTCACTCGTTATTTATACTTTTTTCATTTTTATAAATATTCACTAAATTTGAGTATGATTTTTTATTTCTAAATTATTTTACATGTCAATATTTTATCAACCAAAGGAATTTTTGTAGTGTAACTTCTAGACGAATGTATTTTGGTTTTTAATTTATATTTTTGTTATTAATTTTTTTTTATATTAAACACATTACTAATATTTTTTTATATAAAAATTAGGTATCCTCTGTACATTTTTGTTCAAATTGGATTGGATCACTATCCTTTCCTCGTAAATATTTTATGTAGATACATACTCAAATTTATTCAAATGTAAACAATCTCACACCAATTGATCATACATTTAGTGTGATATATCTTTTATTTCTATTTATGAGACTCAATTTATAATAATTTTTTTGTTATTTAATTAATTTTATCTTATATATTAATTATTTTTAGACTAAAATACTTCTAATTAAAGTGTATTCTTTTAATTTGAAAAATTGCATTAATTACAAATTATTTAAAGAACATTCATTCTAATTGGTTAAAAAAAATAAATATTATTTAAAAAAATAAATAATATAAGACATAAATTCTAATTAGTTAGAAGATATATAACTATAATTAGAAAAGAAAAATAATATAAAAGTAATTTTGAAAAGAAAAAAACTCCCTCTATTTTTTATTATAAGGTACAATTTAGAAAGAATTGTTGACCCTTTTTATAAGGTACTTTATAATTTTTATAAAATATTGATTTTTTTATTCCTATTAAAGATTGTGAGAACATGTTTCTTTCTCTTTTTAGATTTTTCAATTGTTATTTATCATTTTTTTATTCACATTGGTGCATTAACATTTATATGAAATAGTATATTCACATTTTTTATTAAAATTTAATGACAAGTAAAAAAGATAAAATTTAAAAATTATGAATATTTTTTAAATTCAATAAAATCAACTAATTTAACTATTTATATTAGTTTATGTACACGGTTAAAAGTGTTTTATAATAAGGACCAAAAAAAATATATAAATAAAATAAGTTTATGTTTAACTAAGTTAACTATTTTTTAAAATCATGGTGAATTAAGTAATTGAGTCTTTTATACATAACATGAAGGTATATTATTTAATTTTTGAAGAGTTCTAACAACACATTTTATAATACATTCCTTTTAATGCATTTTCTCTTTACAGTTATAATTTATTGAAAATCATAAATTTAAGAAAAAAATTATTAAATAAAATTTAAAATTCATCAAATTTTATATTTTTCAAAAAAATTCAAACAATAAAATAGTGTATCAAGATATTTCTAAAAGATATTAAATTACAATTAAATATTATTAATATTAATAAATGAATTAAAATATAATCATAAAAATAAGGGTATAATAAATGAATTAAAATATAATCATAAAACTGAGGGTGTAATAAATGAATTAAAATATAATCATAAAAATGAGGGTGTAATAAATAAAATAGAAAAAATAAAATATTATCTCTCTTATATAAGTACTTTAGTAGTGGTATGTCACATAAATAAGAAAGAGAGTGAAAGAAGAAAGGGGGAAATAATAGGAAAAAGCAGTATCTCCCCGAAGCTTATCTCAGCGGCAGACTCGACCCACATCGAGTAGCCTCAACCCGAACAACAACACCAATGAGGGAGGTCTTATCTCAATAACCCTTCCCTATCTTTCTTTCTCAAATCACTCTTATATCTTTTCACTTTTCACGGAAACCTTTCATGTAAGATATCATTTTAATTTTCCTCCTTCTGATTTTGAGCTATTTTTGTGTCTCAGGTGGAAAAGAAATCGGAGGAACCCAAGGCAGAGGAGAAAGTACCAGAGGAAGCACAAAAGAACGATGAAGAAGAAACAAAGCCAGCGGAGAAACCGGCGGAAGAGATAAAAGCAGAAGAGTCCAAACCAGAAGAAGTTGCTCTTCCACCGCCACCACCGACCGAGATCGTACTTAAAGTGTTCATGCATTGCGAAGGTTGCGCTCGCAAAGTTCGTCGCTGCCTCAAAGGATTCCCAGGTGGGCCCCACTTTTTTTTTTTTTTTTTTTTTTTTAAAGACAACCTTTAATTAACTCGAGTCCTTCATCGGAACTAGCTAAACTAAACTATGGTCTTTTGCGTTTTTTAAGGTGTTGAAAAGGTGGTAACCGATTGCAAATCTCACATGGTGGTTGTCAAGGGAGAGAAAGCTGATCCGCTTAAGGTTTTGGAGAGAATACAGAAGAAGAGTCACAGGAAGGTTGAACTTCTCTCTCCGATCCCCAAGCCTGAAGAAGAGAACAAGGTCCAAGAGGAGGAAAAGCCCAAGCCGGAGCCCAAGCCCGAAGTGAAGAAGGAAGAGGTTTTCATTTTCAATGTTTTTTACTGACTCACTCTATCTTTATGATCTTATATATCTATCTATATATATATATATAGGCTATTTTAATCCTATTATTAATCTATGTGGGATCTTTCGCTTTTTACTTCTGCGCAGTCTCCTATTGTGACGGTTCTCAAAGTTCACATGCATTGCGAAGCTTGCGCTCAGGAAATCAAGAGACGTATACAGAGAATGAACGGTATGTTTATGTATATATTCACCATTTAATTTTCTCTAAGCCTCACTGCATCATGCAACTCGAGGCCAAGCCAATTGTTGGGTTAATTCAGCTAGAGACAAAACCATGTAGAATTGTGCTTGCAGTTTCAATGTTTTGAATCTGAATCTCTCATGTGAAAGGGATAATTCATTATTCCATTAATTCCACTGCCCTCCCACTTTAAAAATTCAATTAAATGCAGTTGTGGTCAAATTTCAAGTCCCGCGACTTTATAATAATCTCATTTAATTAATACCGAGCCCCATCATTTAATTTGGCCTCAAGTGCTCTGGTGGAGTATTTTATTACAGGGCAGTGATTCTTAAATTCTTAAATTTTTATAATTTAACTTACTAATTTATTATTATTATTATTATTGAAAATTGTGGTGCAGGAGTGGAATCAGCAGAAACCGATCTGAAAAACTCGCAAGTGAGCGTGAAGGGTGTCTATGATCCAGCGAAGTTGGTGGAGTACGTGTACAAGAGAAGTGGGAAGCACGCTGTGATCATGAAGCAAGAAGAGGGTGAGAAGAAAGAGAAAGTGGAGGAACCGAAAGGGGAAGAGAAGAAAGAGGAAGAGAAGAAGAGTGATGAAAGCAAAGAAAAGAAAGAGAAGAAAGAAGAAGGAGAAGAAACAAAGGGTGAAGGTGAAGGTGAAGGTGAAGGTGAAGGTGAAGGTGAAGGTGAAGGTGAAGGTGAAGGTGAAGGTAAAGCTAAAGCAGAGGAAGTAGTAGCAGCAGCAGCAACAGTAACAACAGAAACAGCAACACCTGAAGAGAACAACAACGCTGTGGCAGAAGTGAAAATAAATGAATATTTCTATAACCCACAAAGGTATGGCATGGAGGTGTATGCACCCCCTCCTGCTGCACAGTACCCAGCGTATTACCATGCGTACCCCCCTCAGATCTTCAGTGATGAGAACCCGAATGCCTGCACCGTCATGTAAAAATTGGAAATGTCAGGGGTGATATGGGAATTAGGGAAAATTGTGAAGTTAGTTTGGGTTGGTGATAAATAATAATACCCTTTCCTAAGTTACTTATGCCCCCTGTACTGTTCCTGTTCAAAGTACAAGTCCTATGCATAAACCATAAGCTACAGAATTTTGTAAGACTTTCTGCATCCTGTTTAAGTGGCAAAAAGAGAAAATAAGATCAAGTTATGTATTTTGTAAAATACTATGTCAGTTATCAATATAAATATATATATATATATATATATATGTATATATACCTATTATAAAGAGGATATTTATATACCTATTTTATATCTATTACCTATTTTATTATAAAGGGGATATTGGGGTATGTAATTATTTTTTGTCTCAACTTTTTAATGGACTATTATACCTATTAGATGTAAAAAATATATATATTCTCTCTAAATGACTACATAATACCTTCTAATATTTTGTCTGTATATAATTATTAGAGGCATAAAGTATCATATATATATATATTTAAAAAGCAGGCAAAAAATACTATTGTTTAGGGGGTGAGAGCACATTTAAGATTAAAATAAGATAGAATTATGTTTTTAATTTAATTTTATGTTCAACTTTTTAAAAATAATATGATTAAATGTATGTTTAAAAGTAGTATATTATAGAAAGTATGGCATGTTCTTTAATAAATAATTGCAGGAATTATTTTTAAGAATTTTTGAATTTGTGACGAACAAAATTAAAAAACTAGAATTTTGAAAAGTAAAATTATTTATATTTATACGAATTAAAATATATTTAAGTCTTTAAAATGAATATATATATTCAAACTTGAAATCAAGGTAATAATTGTAAGCAACTTCTTAACAACAAATAATTTTTTGGTGTCAAAAAACAACAAATAATTTTCATATGTTAACCAAGGGAGATACAATCTAGAAAACAAGCTGTGAAATGATTGTCTTGATTGAAAATTAAATAGTTAAAATGCTATATTATAGCATAATCATGAAATGACAGTCTTCATTAAGAATTATGCGGTTAATGTTGAGGTTGTATAAAGGGGGAAAAGGATTCACTGCAGTCATTTTTCCACACATTCTCTATTTAGTGCATATGAAAATTGAATGACTCAAATCTCGAATGCATATTTTAAGTTTAATTTATTAAAATAAAATATGATCCATTCAATTAATCTCCATCTGTCCATATAAGTTGGGTTCTTGTCATATTGCATAAGTTGAATGGTGGGGTGTGCTACACTGTATTCCTTTAGCCCCCCAACATGATTTCAACATGATTCACATTAGAATACTTAATGGTAGAGAATTGAAATTGAGATTGAATGAACGAGGTTTTAAGTTCTAACCTTAGCATGACTATTGTATTTGTATACCAGGAAAAAGAAGAAAAGTTCACATTGAATATATTGATTCCCATGAGGTTCTGTGTATTTGGCCCTTAAAGGGTATTCTTCGCATCTGTGCTACCCTCTTGTTAAGGAGATTTGAAAGTTTTTGTCTCAACTGGATCAAAGGTTGTTCTAAACCATATTTTGCATGAAGCTAAGCACGTGACATATGTTCTAGTTAAATATGGATCGTACGTGCTTATTAGTCAATATACTTGTATTTTTTCTTCCGTAGTGTCCCTTTAATGGGTGATGCATCTTTGGTTTTATTCCCGATTCGTTTAAGGCATGGCAACAATGGTTCAGAGGACTCTTTGTTCTTGATTTTGCTTAGGACAAAACGGATTTGAAATTAAGTTCAGTTGAGTTAGAGACGCAAATTTTAAGGCTTAGTTTTAGTTAACTTCTAGTTTCCTTAACCATTGTCCATTTTATGAAATTGGTTTCTTTCATTTTTTTTCCACTAATTAATCCTGCTATTTTAATCGTGTAAATTTTTTTTTTTATCTATCACTGACATCGAATATTTAATGGAAATCTTGACTTAAAAATTTATTCTATCCTCGTCACACCAACACATGCATGTTTACGAAACGCTTTATTGCACTAGCACCAATACATTCCAAAAATAGAAGTTTGTTGAAATTAGTCAATAGTATAAAATTTATAAAAAAAGATTTATGCTTAGTTTCTAAATTCTACTTCTATATTAGAAATTAAAATACATAAATTGGGACTCTCTTCACTCAATTTATTAGAAATTTTCAATCTTTTTCCTATTATCTCTTTTTGGCATGCATTTTACGTATTGTCACGAACATTTTTTTCCCCCTTTCTCAACTATGTCAAAGCATCCCCTTTTATGTTTACCTGTACACTCGATTTTCTTACCCTTTTTAATCTACCGTTTTTTTTTAACTCTACCTCTAAATTAAATTCCAATAGTACATTTTTTTTAAAATTTTTTTTTACAATAATTAAAAATAATCTTATATAATAATTTAAATTATTTATTATGTTTTAATTATATAAAATTAAATATTTATCTTATGTAATATATTTGTTAAAATAATAGTTATCTTTATTTTAAAATCCATCTATTAGTTTATCTTTCTACCTTATTTATATTTTAAAATTTTATTAATTATAATAATAATAGTTACAGTTGCACTATAAGAAATGTTATATATAGTGACATACAAAAAGTGTTACTATAAGTATAATATATGTAGGTATATGTCTATTTGACATATAGTTACACACAATTTTAGTGTTGATTTTGAATGAGATTTAACAATATATTTTGTGTGTCATTATAGTCTATACCCACATTTTCTTAATAATATACCAACATATATTATAGTTATTATGTGTGTAAAAGTAATTTTTAGTGATATGTATAATGTCACTATAGAATGCGTGTCACTATATGACAATTTTGTTGTAGTGTTGGTTCATTAAGAAAATTATAAGAAAATGTAGAATAATTAAACATAATATAATTTGAGATCAATTAAGGATAAACATCATAAAATATATTTTTTTATGAGTAAAAATTAAAAAAGTAAGCAAGAAAAAAATTACAACCTCAAGTGTAATATCTCCATAGCATCAAATAACAACATAAAAATTAGTTGATATGAACAATGATTTCAATATTGAAATATAGATTTTGCATGTCAATCAGCTCACAAATTAATTTTACCAAATGAATGTTATAAGGTAATATTATAAAGTAATCGTAATAATTTCTTAATCGTAATGATCAAAGGAAAGTAAAGATGAAATTAATTCCTATTGTTATGAACTAACTCTAAGGTTATGGTATAATCTATCACACAAAATTACATGATAACCTTTCTTCTAAACTTTGTCAAGAGCATGAAAGAAAATAAACAATCTAGTCTTGATACTAATTGTATTTTCACATGAGCTGAAATATTACCAATAACCCTGTTTTCCAAGAAGAGCAAGTTTTAGAGGTTTCTTTTCAAGACTTCATAAAATATTTAACTCTTGACTCTTCATAAACTTTATACATGCATGACTTATACGAGGACGAACAAAACTTCTAAAATTTGACTTGTAAAATAGAATAGAGGATGTAATAAAGGTCTGATTACTGAAAAATTAATGCATCAAAATAATTAATAGAGTATTTAATTATATAGTAAATCATATTAAATATTTAAAATCTAAATAATATTTGTTAACTTTTTACCCTCCAATAATTATCTATAAACAAATAGATTCTACGAAAAATAAAGTAGTAAGGACAAAATATTAACCAATAGGAACACTACAAAGACAGCTGTTTTCTAAAAAAAATTATATAATTTTGAACACTAAAAATGTATTATTAATTTATCATAATTTTTAATTAGAAAAAGGCCATTGTACATAAATTACTATTGTAGAAGAAGAAAACTAATATAAGTGGTTCACAAGCAGATGCAAGCAAATGGAAAGTTAGACAGAGTTGCCCCATAAAATAAATAATGATACAATAATCATATAGCTCTTAACCACTTCCCTTCCGTCTTAAAATTTGCCTATTCCAATTTCAGTAAAGCCCCAAATTTCTAGAAAGTTTAAATTAAACTCATTGGATATATACATTATTATCATTAGACTACTCATTCAGATACTCTCATAGTTAACGCTGGTAATTAACATCCACGAATACGATACATCATCATATATTATATTTGCTATTTGCTAAAGGACAAAAACTTTAGTCATGCCTTCCTAATATTATCTTTTTTCTTGTCCTTTCAAACCTAATCAATCGAATTTACATGATCTATTTTGCACTTTTAAAAGAAAATTTAGAAACACATTTTTAACACACTTTTTAATATATAATTTTTATTAATTAAAATTAATTAAAAATTATAAAGTCAGTAAAAAGAATTATTAAACAGAGTGTAAGACCATCGATTTTTATATTTTTAATAAATTTTAATTATATTTAAAAAAATGTGTTAAATAGTGTGATACTATCAATTTCTTTTTCTTTTTCTGAGATCAGTTTCAAGCCATACCATTCATTCTGAAAAAAGCACTTGAAAGTAAAGGTGAATCCGTTGCCAAGTCAGTTTGAAAGGCACTCACTAACCATGAGCTTGCTCTACTCATTCTCAAGCAAAATGCTTGATGCTGAAACAAATCTCAATAGCTAAGTTAATGGATAAAGATGCGTAGATACTCCTGATATTGGGTATATATAGGCATTTTCGTTTGACATTATGACGGATATGAATTCCACCAAATATGAAAACTATTAATTGATACTAATTGTAATTTTATTAAAAAGATATGTAAAGATAATTTTTACACATCTTGGACTTACTCTCGTGATTGAGATTATTTTAACTTGATTAGGACAAGAACATTGTCGAGATACAGATACGAAGAATATTTTCTTTTTACTATTTTAGGAATCACTTTTTAACCTTAATTATCATATGTATTTCAGAGTAATTAAGATTCAAAAATTTAATAAGAAATATTATCACATCTCAACTAATAATTAAAGAAGCACACTCAATTCAATTTTGAGTAAAATTCTCACTTTTGATTAAACATTACGTAGGGGAAACAAACCATGCAAAGCATCTTTTGATCCCTTATGTAACAAAATGGGCACTCAAAGGAATCATCTATAGAGCTTTTCCATAAACTTTAAATAGAAGGCCCTTAGCAAGTTCAAAGTGCTTTTATTGAATAAGTTAACTACTAGAATGAACTCGAATAAGCCCTTTTTTTATATTTTAATTTTTAATTTTTACATTTTATAGTGGCTAGAGAGGTTCGTCCCAC